AAAATATGGTTGGTGGCACTGGGACACAAAAACATTCCACGAACTACCCAGGCTGAGAAAGCAGGAAGTGTCTTAGTCTCATCTTTATCCTGGGGACAACTGCCTTTGTATTAAAATTGTAAATTACCAACAATATGTTAATAAAAGGATTAAAAGCAAAAATAATGTGACATTGTGGCGCGTTTCGCTCTCCAACTTCATCAAGTCGTTTTAAACAATACATACACACACGGGATATTTCAGTCTTAGAGTGAGGTGTAAACTAGAGGTAGTATGCTAGAGGGTTTTTTTGTAAAGGTTGTAAAACTCCCGGAGAGCGAACGTTCACAATAAAATGTCACAGGTTTCATTTGGTCATTTTACTTAGCCGCCTTCAGCCTGGGGAGGCCCGCCCCACCCCTGTGGCTGAGAGTGAGCCCCTGACGTTCCCCAAAATCTGCCCCAAACCCTTTTTATGATTGAAAAATTTTAATAAAGTACTCTATACCAAAACCCGACTGAAAGAGGAGCTTCGCGATTTTCGGTCCGATTTGGACCTTTAAAAAAGTCACACTAACGAAAAGAACAGGACGGGTATATAAGGCGGGAAAAAGGGTATTAGTAATAGTAATAGTAGTATAGTGTGGTAGAGTGTAGTGGGGGAGATGGAAGTAAAAAGGGGGAAGAAGACGAGGAACCAGTCAAATACAAAGAAAGGGGAGCGCAAGGGAGCTAGGTCCTACCCCAAGGGGTAGGTCCCCAAAAGGGAGCTAGGTGCCCCAAGGGAGCAGGCCCCCACAAGGGAGTAGGTCCCCACAAGGAGCTAGGTCCCACAAAACCCAAAGGGGAGAGCAAGAACACAGAGGTGGGGGGAGGGGAAAATAAGAAAAAAATAAAGAAGGAACAGAAACAAAAAACAAAAGGGAAAGAAAGACAACTCAAAGAGAAAAAAGGAAAGGGAAAATGGAAAGGGGGAGAAAAAAAAAAAATGAGGAATCGGTTAAGTCACGGGTGTTTGAATTTTGGAACTTTTTTACAAGTAAGGGGGAGGGGAAGACACACAAGACGAAGCCACGACAAAATTTCAATGGAAAGTTGTGTTTTAGGGAGGATTCAACCAGAGGCACTGTTAAGGGAAAGTTAGGGAAAACAGTTTTTTGTGACTTCCGAAGGGTATTTCCTTTTTTTTTTTTTTTTTGTTATTCAAGACTTTTATATTATCAGACCGGGGCCCGGGGGGGCGATGCCCCCCGAAATTTCTCCAGGTATATCCGGCAGAAAAAAAGAACTTTTAGTAAAAGCAAAAAATTTATCCGTAAAAAAAAAAATTTTTTGCTTAACTCATTCAAAAAAAATCCAAAAAAAGAAAGAAATATTTTTTTTTCCCTTTTTTTTTTTTTTTTTTTTTTTTTGAGTAAGAGTTTTCGAGGCGGCCATTTTGATGCTGGGGGAGTGTGGCGGGCCGTTGCGTTCTTTTTCTTTTTTGTTTTTTTTTAAAAAAATGGGGGTTTTTGGGTTTGGGGGTAAAAGAATAAAAAAGACCCGTGAAAACCCGGGTTGACGTAAAAGAGAGCCGGATAACTGAGGTTGACGTAAAGGAGCCGTAAAACCCGAGGTTGACGAAATGGGCCGTGATAACTGGGTTGACGTAAAATGGAGCCGTGAAAAGAGGTTACGTAGAGGAGAGCCGTGTAACTGGGGTTTTGACGTAGAAGTAAGCCGTGAAACGAGGTTGACGTAAAAGTGAGAGCCGTGATAACTGGGGTTTGAGTAGAAGTAGAGCGTGTAACTAGGTTAAAGTAAAGTGAAGCCGTATAATGAGGGTTGACGTAGAAGTGAGACCGGATAACTGAGGTTTGACGAAAGGTGAGACCGGAAAACTGAGGGTGACGTGAAGTGAGAGCCGTGAAAACGAGGTTGACGTAAAGTGAGACCCCTTGATTAACTGGGTACTTGAAGTACCCGGATAACGAGGTTAGAAAAGGGGAGAGCCTGAAACTGAGGTTGACGTAAAAAAACCGGAAAAATGGGTGCGTGAAGTGACCCAAAATGAGGTTAAAAAAAAAGGGAGGTTCCCTTGAGGTTTTTTGGGTTTACCCAGGGCCCCTCCAGTGAATTTCCTTTGATGTTGGTTATGGTGTTAAACCAAGGGCTTCCCCAGGGAGGTTCCTTGAGTTATTAGGGTCTTTTGAACGGGGGCCTCCCAGGAGGGTTCCTTGTTTTTGTTATGGTTCTTGTACAAGGCTCCTCCAGGGGGTTTCCCTTGATTTTAGTTATGGTCCTTGATACAAGGTTCTCCAGGGATTTCCCTTTGATTTGTTTGGGTCTTTGATACAAGGCTCCTCCAGGGAGGTTCCTTGATTTAGTTAGGGTCTCTTGATAAAAGGGCTCCCCCAGGGGGGTTTCCTTGTTTTTGTTATGGTCTTTGATACAAGGCTCCTCCAGGGAGGCTTTTGACCAAGGCTCCTCCGGGGGGTTTCCCTTGCCCCAAGTCTCCTCCCAGGGGGGTTCCCTTTGATCCGGGGGTCCTCCAGGGAGGTTCCTTGGATCCAAGGTCCTCCAGGGAGGTTCCTTGATAAGGTCCTCCGGGGGTTCCTTGATCCAAGGCTCCTCCAGGGGGGTTTCCCTTGATCCAAGACTCCCGGAGGCTCCTTGATCAAGGTCCTCCAGGGAGGTTCCTTATCCAAGGGGTCCTCCAGGGGGTTTCCCTTGATCCAAGACTCATCAGGGAGGGCCCTTGACCCAAGGCTCCCAGGGGGGTTTCCTTGATCCAAGTTTTGGTAAATCCCAAACCAAAAACACCTGCAACACACCAACATTGAAACCGGGAAAAATTCAACTTTGAAGCTTGGGCCATCGAGTGATTTTTCCCCCCAATCAAGCTTTTATTTACCACATGCATATCTGTCTAGCCACTTATTAAGAGTTAAAAAATGTTTAATTAACTTTTAATGTGGGAAACCCTTTCCGGGAGACCCAGGTAGATTATTTTTTACTATTATTAGTGTTACTCTTTTAATATTATATATTATTTTTTATTATTTATTATTTTATTTTTTTATTATTATTATTTTTTTTATTTTTATTATTTATTTATTTTAAAGGTAAAGGAAGTTAGTAACAAGAAAAATGGCCCCCCTTGTTTACATCGGCTGACGTAAAATCATGAAATTTTGTTTCTCTTTATACTTACTTTTTTCACTGTTTGTCTCATTTTTTTTAAGTTGTGTGTGAGGGGTGGGAAAGGGAGGAACCTGTAATAATACGAGCTTGAGAAAATAGTAGCAGGAGAGAGAGGACGCCTGACAGCTGGGTAAAGTGAGGGGTCGGGTGTGACCCCCCCCCCCCCCCTCTGATTCCCTTTCGGGGAACGGCTCTTCATCCGGGAGGTGGAGCAGGCATTCCCACTGTCCTCGGCTCAAACTTCCCCTCAAGGGAAGGGTTTCCCTTGATTTGGTGAGGGGGGCTTGATTTAGGGATTTGGTCGTGCCCGTTTTCCCCGAATTTAACCCGAATGCCTTCCACATCCCCCCCCCCCCAGGCGCTGATAATCCTCTGGGTTTTGCGCTTCCCCCCTTGATTATAATATTAAAAATAATCGGGGTCAAACTTGATTGATTTTTCTGTCTCAGGCACTGTATAATCTCTTGATGTACGGTTACCCCTTTTCTTTTGCTCGTAACCACATGGAGACAAAAATCAGGATATTAAAAGTTCTATATAAAAAAAATAACTTATTTAGAACAGGTAAAATTAGTGCAGTTACCTACATAGTGTAATTTCCCCGGATAAAACCCCCAAAAAATCAGTTTTGTTTCCATTTTGGCCCTCTGGGATCCCCTGCTGAAGAAAACCTCAGGGGGGTCGAAATATACAGTCAATTAATCTCCTGATTTTTGTCTCGTGACTTTATTGAACATTGATGTATTTTTCATTTCATTTGTTTTCATTCATCATAATTCATCTTAGACGGGTTTTGGGATTTTTTGCCTGAAAAACTTGTAAAGGGTTTACCCAGACAGTATTTAGGTACGGTAATAAGTCAGTTATTAACCCAGTCAAAAATTTTAAATTACCCACCCGGATAACCTGAAAAAAATTGAAAAAAGTGACTTTCATTGTGGCCCAAAGAATGTTTTTTCATTTTTTTCTATTTTGGGTTTAAATGATATTGAATGTTTTAAGTAGGTTAATATTTTATTCTCTCCTTACCATACAGGTGCCCGTCGTATTTCTACAATACGAAGGTTCTCACTTGTTTATTTTTTTTATTGGAATTTGCATGACTAAAATTTGGGTTTTCCATGTCCAAAATTTTTTATGGGGGATTCAAAAAAGTTAAAATGACACACACATGCCAAGTACAGTATAATAATAGAAATTTACCATTTAAGAGTGGTATTTTGTGCTGTAGACCTAGAGATAATATTTTTGAGAAAAGGACCTACAGATTTTGTTTCTGGCAGGTTGTTGTATCAAGAACTAACTTGTCGCTGAGCCATCATCGTTACGAAACCTAACATTGTCTCCTAAAATAGCGGGGATAGACATATTTTATTGGGTAAAGTTCATATGCTATTTTATTTGTTTTTTGAGCTAAAATATAAAATCACTTTGCCATGTTTTTATACACAATACTGTATAATCTTTTACTGTATTTATATTTTTCTCCTTGGTTAGGTCTTATTTAACATGCTTTTTTTACCCTTTCCTTTTTTATTTATGATTGGAATTCTTTTTCAGAAAATTCATCTTTATGCTTTACCTGTGTGAGAAATTATTTATTTCTTATTACCTGTATGCATTTGCAAGAGCAGAATTTGCTCATTTATAGAGTCCTGTTTGTGTTGCATAATATTTGTTGCAGAAGTACCGTCAGCTCACACATTAGAAGTTATTTAAATTACTAATGTTTTCATTATGGAACTATGAAATAATTTATTCTCACACAGAATTTTAAAGTACTGAAATTCAGTATTTCTGGTACTATAGGGGAAGGACGGTTAGACTGCGTGTTGTTGATGGTGTTGCGACTTCTGACATCACGCCTTTCTGGCAAAGGAAGGAGGGGAGCTGGGCTCGCGGGGGGGTACTGTCCCTGCTGGTGCGTCTGGCCTTTGCCACTGCTGCATCTACTTAACAGTGAAAGTTTTAGTGTCTGCTATGGACCCCACAGCTAAACAGAAGAAAGATGCCAAAAGGAAGGTTAGATTTATTGCATTAATATTAACTACAGTAGCACTAGCAGATAAAATGTGAAAGTGTTGATATAATGTGTTACAAATTGGAGGAGTGTTTGTAGTTGTACAAGAAGGTTGAAGTGTTGCATTTGAGGGATATCAGTCTGATGGAGAATATGATATTTACAGTGCTAGAATAAAGGAATTTGTCTGTATGTTAGTACTGTATTAAGAAGTATAGTACACTTCACTTCCCATATCCTCGAGTTTCTGATACAAGGCTTTGCTGACCAAGAACTGTGTTAATGTCCTAATATCTGTTTACTGATAACCAGGGGTTATCAGGCTGTTACGTACAGCTTTAAATATTCAGCCATTTTCCTTGTTTTGTTTCTGTGTAACATGCTGATTTCTGTATTACAAACTTACCAACTTTTACTGTACATTATATGTATAGCATTTATGGATTGGCATTCATAAGAAATTAATATTTTCAGGCTCAGGAAGTGATGCAGAGACTTGGTATTAAGGAGAAACTATCGGTGAGTAATGGCTGTTGTTTAGAGTGATAGTCAGTGGAGGTTAAATTCAGCAGAAAACTTTCATAAGGTAGACTGTCTTGTGCCTACAGTAATTATACTCACAGCTTATTAAACAGAAAAAAAGTGCTATTGCAATATAAATTTTGTTGTTGATAAAAGCCCTTGCTTTGTGTAATGTAATAGTTTCAAAAGTTGGGGTAAAATGCTGGGATTATTTTAAAGGTAATTAAAGTCTTTGAAATTGTGAACATCTGATCCTAACACCTTAATGTGTACCGTGATTCTTCATAATGTCACCTGTGGCCACACCCTTAGTGCAGCATTTATTTTATCCTGTAAAAATTGTTGCTCCTCTTGTGGTATAACACTTAAGTATTTTTATAATGTTTGTATGAGAATTAACATTCTCTGTTAAAATGAAGCCCAGAAATACTTGCCAAGGGCCTCTGGATTTACTGAATATGAATGTGTTTTCAGTTTAACGAGTATGAGATGATGATTGCAAGTCAACTAGTGGAGCCGACACAAATGTCCACGTCGTGGAAAGATGTGGCAGGCCTCTCATCTGTCATTCGTGAGTTGCGAGAAACACTCATATTGCCCATACAGCAGAGAAATCGCCTACAAGCATCCAGGCTTATTCAGCCACCCAAAGGTTTAACGTTAATGGTGCTTTATGGGGGGGTCAGAAGCTCTGTTTAATGTAATGTTTTTGAATTCCAGTGAAAACGATGGCCTCTCTTCATTTTTTAAATCTTCCTTATAGTTCTTAAAATGTATACAACTTAGATTAGTATTGTCTTTTTTTCTTCTGGACTTATTTCTGTGTTACATAACTAATTTTGTATATGTAATGTAGTTCACTGGCAAGTAGAGAGAGCTCTTGGAGTGCCTCTCCTGCATGTAGTTCATTGCTCAGCAGTATTCATCTCATCACAAATTTCTGATGTCTTTTTTCTTCATGTGTCTTTAATTTTGCTCCCCTTTTATGTACACTTTATTATTGTCAGCTTCACATATTTGTTAATTTACAGAGGGTTGGTCACTTATGTGGCCACAGTTTCTTTCTCACATAACCTACAATATATGCCAAGACTGAATACAATGTAAGCCCTTCTTCTAGATGTTTCATCATTCTTGCTTTCCATTCCAAGATCACTTCTCTCAGTCTCTGTACGGAATATACATTCATGATTTAACAGCAACTGTTTCCTCCCTGAAACTTTGTAACACTCTTGCAGCTGCTGTTTATATTTTGTTCTTTCATTCACAAAGTCTGTGCCTGAATCAGTCAGATTATGTTTATGGGAAGTTCCATACCAGTAAGGGTCATTCAGTGCTACATGGAAGACGTGATAGAGGGAAAAAGAGGCATTGGTATTGGGAGGACATTGCCTGAAAGTAAAACTATAAAAGAGATGCTCATATTTATGAACACAAGACTCAGAAGTGTTTATTTTAAGACCTTGCATTAGGCTGGGAATTGTTTGCTGTGTATTGCCAAAAATACTGAACCTTTTGTACAACTGGAAATGCTGTTCAAAGTCGTATGTGTTATACTTAAGATGTCCTTTTTTTTAACGTACTGGCTGTTTCCCACTGAGGCAGAGTAACCCCAAAAAAAAAGAAACTTTCACCATCATTCACACTATTGCTGTACTGCCAGAGAGACAGTTTAGATGTCCCTCCAAACAGCAAATATCCCAAACCCCTCCTTTAGAGTGCACACACCGTACTTCCCACCTCCAGGGCTCAAGTCCGGCTAACCAGTTTCCCTGAATTCCTTCACATCCCCCAAAAAATTATTCTCTCTAAATGTTGTAATTTATCTTCTGAACCTGTATTATTTTAGAACCAAACATTTTGATGTTGATTTCAGGTGTGTTATTACATGGTCCTCCAGGCTGTGGCAAGACACTCTTGGCTCGTGCTGTTGCAAAGGAAGCTGGTTCTCGTTTCATCAACCTAGATGTTGCATCGTTGACAGACAAATGGTATGGAGAGTCTCAGAAACTCTCTTCGGCAGTGTTCTCCCTGGCATCAAAGATTCAACCCTGCATCATATTTATTGATGAAATTGGTAAAAGTGTTTAATTAATAAAATGTTAATTAAGTACACTGGTTAACCAGCAATTTATATAAATTGATGATTGTTAGGTTAAAGTTGTACTAAAATGCTAAATTTTTCTTTAAGTAAAATGCTCATAACTAAGATTTATTATCTACCTTCATTACAGACTCGTTCTTACGTGTGCGTGCTTCTGGTGATCATGAAGCCACAGCCATGATGAAAGCACAGTTCTTGCAGCAGTGGGATGGCCTGGCCACTGACCATAGTCGCTGTGTCATAGTTATGGGTGCCACTAACAGACCACAAGATGTGGATCGTGCTATACTTCGCCGCATGCCGGCTGCTTTCCACATTCCTCTACCAGTTAGTGGCTTAATATCCATATTTCTCTGCAAATTCATTGTTTCCAGCATTTTTCTTAACAAACCATAGTTTGCTATCTCTCACTTTTCTCTTTGACATCAATCTGGTTCTGTCCCTGTGGAAGCTGAAACTTCGGCCAATATGCTGCTCCATCAGCCGATGGCACTGCTTGTTCCTTAGAGGAAACAAAACCATTGTGATACAGTTTGTGGCTTATGATTAGGATCCTATTAGTACTATGCTGTATTAGGATCCTATTAGTACTATGCTGTATTAGGATCCTATTAGTACTATGCTGTATTAGGATCCTATTAGTACTATGCTGTATTAGGATCCTATTAGTACTATGCTGTATTAGGATCTATTAGACTATGCTGTATTAGGATCCTATTAGTACTATGCTGTATTAGGATCTATTAGTACTATGCTGTATTAGGATCCTATTAGTACTATGCTGTATTAGGATCCTTTAGTACTTTTGCTCTATTAGGATCTTATTAGTACTATGCTGTGATCAACATGTTTCACATTATGCTGTTGAAACCTCTGACAGAGTTACACATACAGGCTGGTGTTTTCCCAGTTAACTAGAACATCCTCTTAGCTGGAAAAATACAATGACTATAGGATTTAAAATGTTGTATACTGTTAGATAAAAGGGACACATGTTCAAACTAATGTGACAGTTTGTTCTTGCAAAGTTTCACGCTAAGGAGAGCTTTGTCCTGGGAAATGAAACATTGCTACAATAAAATGTGCATGTGTCCTTTTCCCAACATTATTACAACATGTCTTTATACTGGTTGCAATTTACACTTCTTTTGTCTCCAAAATTAAAATTTTTCATTGTACTATTAATATTAATTTAAGGTAGTAGTTTTCCATGGTATTGAGATGGAAATTCAGCTATAACCTGAGGCTCGTTTGCATGATGCTGCTTCGCCATAAAAATATTACAACATTTTTCTGGATGAAGCCATAATCAGTGCAGCTTTACCCCTAATGATATTGATCACAGTACAAGTTTTTTCTGGATGAAGTCAGGTTACATTCAAATAGTGTAATTTGAGTTTGCCAAAATTTAGCCTTCCCTGTTTTGAAGGAAAACATGATTTTCTTAATTAAGAAATGTATTTGGAAGAAAATTTCCCAGATATCTGAACACCTTTAGGGTAATGGAACATTTCCTAATATTAACCCCTGATAGGTGTATTGAAATTTTTTATTACCCTTTGTTAATTATATTCCCTGGTTGTATAGCTTCTTCTTACTGAAAGTCATTTTTTTGCTTTCTGTACCTCTTAAATTTTTTATAGGTTCATATAGATATAATTTTAGAGAGAATGGATCAAAGTAGAATGACATGGGAGGCATTTAATCTGTGGGGGAAAGGCGGGGGTAGGGGTCGTCCTCAAAAAGGTTGGAAGGAAGGGGTAAGGGAGGTTTTGTGGGCGAGGGGCTTGGACTTCCAGCAGGCGTGCATTGAGCGTGTTCAATAGGGGTGAAGGGGAGACGATGGTATTTGGGACCGGGCGATCTTTTGGAGTGTGAGCAGGGTAATATTTAGTAAAGGGATTCAGGGAAATCGGTTATTTTATTAGCTGGACTTGAGTCCTGGAAATGGTGGGAAGTACAATGCCTGCACTCTAAAGGAGGGGTTCGGGATATTGCAGTTTGGAAGGATATGTTTTTGTATCTTTATACATATATGCTTTAAACTGTTGTTTTTAGAGGCACCTCTGCAAAAAACAGTGATTATGTGTGAGTGAAGGGGAAAGTATTAAATGATGATGAAAGTATTTTCTTTTTGGGGATTTTCTTTCTTTTTGGGTCACCCTGCCTCGGTGGGAGACAGCCTACTTGTCAAAAAAAAAAAAAAAGTTTATAATTTACAGTAACTTTCTAAATACAGTGGTCCCTCGTTGTTCATAATTAATCCGTTCCTGGAGCCGTTACTATAACGAAATTTACGATTTAGGGAATAAATTTTCCCCCATAAGAAATAATGTAAATACAATTAATCCGTTCCTGACCCCGAAGTATTAAAACAAAAAATTTTTTAACATGAAATTGCATGTAGTACAAAAAACAATAAAATGAGAAATGATGAATGAAAATTTACAGCATTAACATTACCTTTATTGGAGATTCTTCTTAGTGTATGGGAGACTGGAGGAGGAGAGAGAGTGGTTTGTTTATAGTTTGGAAGGGGGAATCCCTTCCATCAACACCTCAGGTCCCATTTGCTTTTTGGGGTTGCTTCTCTTCTCTGTTTCTTAATGCCACTAGGACCACCTTGAGAGTCACTGGAAGGCCCTGTCTCCACAAATAACTGTGGAGAGAGCTCTGTTTCTGGCGTCTTTTAACACTTCCCTAAATGGCCCAAGACTTTGTCCCCTGTACATGTTGCCAACCTGGTTGCAACAACCTTGTTAGGGTGATGTTTCTCCATAAATCTTTCCATCATACCCCACATGGTAAAAATCTCTTTAATTTTCTGAAGAAGGCACCTTCACATCTCTTTTCCCTCCTCCTCTGCAGCAAGATCTGAGCTGCGATGTGTTGCTCTTCCTGTGAAGCTCTTGCAGTCCTCAGTGGTTAGCTTTTCATTGTGGTTCTTCCACCAATTTTTCCCACATCCTCCAAACTCACATCCAACCCCATGGAACTCCCCAGTGCCACAATTGATTTTACAACAACATAGGCTCATTAGGGTCGTCCCAAATCTTCAAAATCCCTCTTGTCGACACAATCTGGCCACAATTTTTTTCCAGGCAGAGTTCAAAGTCCCGGTAGTCACTCCCTCCCAAGCCATACCTATAAGGGTTATGCAGTGGAGGATGCTGAAGTGTTCTCTCCAAAATTCCCTTAGGGTCAAGTGAGTGTCTGTGGTCACAGTCAAGCACCTGTGAAACATTGCTTTTGTGTAGAGTTTTTTAAAGTTTGCAATAACCTGCTGGTCCATGGGTTGGAGGAGAGGAGTGGTATTCGGGGGCAAGAACTTTACTGTGATGAACCCAATCCTCGAAAATTAGGTCATCCAAGTTTGGAGGATGAGCAGGTGCATTGTCCATTACTAGCAGGCACTTGAGATCAATTTCTTTTCCAGGAGATACTCCTTCAAAACTTGGGCCAAACACTTATTTAACCACTCGACGAAAAATTTCCCTCGTGACCCATGCCTTACTATTTAGATTTCCAAAACACACACAATTTTACTCTTCATAACATTGTTTTTCCTGAACTTTTGGGATTTTCAGAATGGTTACAAATAGTAATGGCTTCACTTTTAAATCCCCAACTAGCATTAGCACAGAACATTTGCGTCAGCCCGTTTTCATAGGGTTGTGTCCTGGCATTGCCTTTTCCTCTTGTGTAATGAAGGTCCTCTTTGGCATTTTCTTCCAAAGAGGCCCGTTTCGTCACAATTGAACAAATTGTTCAGGTTTCAGTCCTTCAGCCTCTATGTACTCCTGGGGAAATTATGTACATATTTTTCAGCCCCCTTGTGGTCCGAACTGGCAGCCTCACCTGCCTTACCACATGTGTAGCCCGTACGGTTCTTAAATTTTCTCAAACCAGCCTTTGCTGGCCTTAAATTCCTCACTTCACCACTATTTACAGGCAATTTCTTTACCAATTTCATGCAACTGCCTAGCCTTTTCACAAATAAAACGAAGTCATAAGAGTATCTCCTGCTAATTGTTTCTATTTATCCACACAATAATAATTCTCAACCTCTTCCAGTACTTGTGATCTCATTTTTGTCAGCATAGTTATCCTTTGCAACAACGCATCCTTTATTTCATTTTTCTTGGCCACTATGGAACATAAGGTTGTGTTGGGTTTTTATACATCCTGGACAGTTCGGCCACATTGTACCACTTTCATATTGTTCAATGATGGTTTTCTTAAATTCAATCGTATTTCTCACCTTCTTTGCCACAGGCTTGGCATAGGGCTTTCTTTGGAGCCCTGGTAGCTTATTTAGTACTTGCAAGCACTAAAATAAATGGAAAATTATGAAATATTTCGCTGGAGCACGTGAGGGGACCTTCGGCTCATGGTAAAAAAATGCCCGACTGGCTGCCGCCCTGGCTCACGCCGTGGGTACACGTCCCGGACGAACTACGACTCGCGAGTCAACCCAAAGAAAAGCGAGTCCATGTTCATACGAAAATACCTCTTATGATTGGTGATTTTACGATTGCCGGGAACTACGAAAAGCAGGGACCACTGTATTATTAGTGTAATTTTGATAACACCATTCAATGAAGTGATTGGGTATGAACCATTAGTGTGGCATTACCAGCCCAGATCACAGGTTTGAGTGACAATAATTATCAAATGGTTACATTCATTCTTATGAATTTTCAAGATATTGGGTAATACAGGCTCAAGTTTTGGGGCTAGATGTTTGCTGTTTACCTGTTATTGATGTCCTTAAAAGGATGACATGCTGAATATAAGGTTCCTTATTCACCCAACAACAAATTACTCTTTTTTATTGTGAATAGAAGTGAATTAGTATCCCAAAGGGAAATTTCTATAGGAGGAGGAAGCAGAGAACAGATGGGAGTATTAAGTAGCTAGAATTATAATTATTCTAGGTAGTAGGCTGGGGAAACAGCAAACCCGCCCAGGGAAGTACTACCATCCTGCCAAGTGAGTGTAAAACGAAAGCCTGTAATTGTTTTACATGTTTGGGAGGGTTTCTGGTGTCTTTTGTCTGTCTCATAAACATGCAAGATTTCAAGTACCTCTTTCTACTTCTACTTCACTTAGGTCCCCACTACACATACATGTACAAACATATATATACACACCCCTCTGGGTTTTTCTTCTATTTTCTTTTTTGTTTTTGTTCTTGTTTATTTTTCCCCTTATCTCCATGGGAAAGTGGGCAGAATTCTTCCTCCGTAAGCATGTGTGTTGTAAGAGGTGGGCTAAAATGCCAGGAGCAGGGGTTAGTAACCCTTCTCCTGTATTAAATTACTAAAAATTTAAAAGAGAAACTTTCGTTTTTCTTTTTGGCACCCTGCCTTGGTAGGATACGGGGGTTTGTTGAAAAAAAAAAAATATAATTATTGTTATGATCAAATTAAATACTAAACCCATAAAAGTCATACAGCGTGTGAAGAGAGTCATGCGAAGGTTAAGAGTGAGTGAGCGGGTACCGGAACGTGAAGCTGGAGTTAGTGGGAATTGAGGATTAATTCAAGAA